GCAACGAACTTGAAACATGTATCAACTATTAACTCGGGTCAGGCCCGAAGCTTGCGAAGTTGTGCTAGCGAACTTGCAACATTGTATAAAATATTGTGGGACCTCCGAGTTTCCTGCACTAGTGAGCTCGGGACAGACACAGCTGTGGGCTATTTGCGCAAGGGATACGAAGTAGTGCTTGACTTGCGCAGGAGCTCACCGGAGCCCCTCAAATGTTCTACTGCTTGAGCTCCTGTTCCTCTTATAGAATATTAGCTCAAAAGTATTGTGGAACAGTAAACAGTAAATATAAACAGTACCAGCACCCAAAATGAGTCAAACACTGATAAGAAGTAATCAGGTAGGCCTATTTTATAACATTTCCACTGGATCAGAGCATGACATTTTTCCCTTTCACGCTGAGGGGTTATCGAAAGGGAGAGAACTGGAAAGATTTTTCAAATACATTGAGGAACTACTGTAATTGTCAATGGATGTAAAAACAGACTTTGTTTGCTTGCTGTTTGAGCTGAAGAAAACATTACTTTGAGAAGCTCCACAGGTCATTAGTGGTGGTGCGTTAAGCCAATCAGAAAAATGATCAGATCCCCAAATGGGCACATTTATATGCCTACATTTGTCCGCAGGCCAGGTAGCCTACAGGCCTACTTCTATGTGTGCGCGTCCTTACTCAACATTGACAGGAGCACTCCAAACAAAAGACAATGACTAAATTGACAAAACTCGTATATGGAATGAAATAAACCAAAACTTGATTCTCACAAGTGTAGCATAGGTTGTGGGCTCTGCAAACAATCTGTCCACTCCGACAATGATAACGGGAAGACTGGAATAATAATTAAGTAACAAACATTGTAGATTAGAAATTATAGGATTTAACATTAAATGTACTACTGGTGATATATGTAATGGGGAATTGATATACACTAACAATCAAATGCAAACAATTCACACAATGAAGTTATGAAACAATGAATGTGCACAAATTGGCGGGAGAGAGCGCATTCTGGACAGAGAAGTGGATTGTGCATCTGGGCACATGGTCAATCTGAAGTCTGCACTGGCCATGCAGCATTTACGGTTATATGGTCACAGCAGAAGTCAGGGCATTCATACTTCTTGGGCTTGGCGGAGCAGTGCAGAGCTGTTGTCAAGGAAGTGAGTTTGTTTTCTACAGGATGTACCGCCCCCACCTACCGTCAACCAATCAAATCAATGCAGAGCTACGCAGAGCCCTCTGCATTGTTTCAAAATTTGGGAGGCGAATGGCGATGAGGTACGGCGCTCGATTTGGCCTCTGCATGCCTCTGGAGGCTCTGTAATTACGTCACACCCTCCATATGGAGCCTCCGACCACATTTTCGGATCAAGCATAAATTGGCTTTTAGTCTAGGCCTCCGCAATGGATTAGTTTACTGTGGGGGAAAAAAGTATTTAGTCAGCCACCAATTGTGCAAGTTCTCCCACTTAAAAAGATGAGAGAGGCCTGTAATTTTCATCATAGGTACACGTCAACTATGACAGACAAATTGAGGAAAAAAATTCCAGAAAATCACATTGTAGGATTTTTAATGAAGTTATTTGCAAATTATGGTGGAAAATAAGTATTTGGTCACCTACAAACAAGCAAGATTTCTGGCTCTCACAGACCTGTAAATTATTCTTTAAGAGGCTCCTCTGTCCTCCACTCGTTACCTGTATTAATGGCACCTGTTTGAACTTGTTATCAGTATAAAAGACACCTGTCCACAACCTCAAACAGTCACACTCCAAACTCCACTATCCTGCAGTGCCAGACGTGTCCCCCTGCTTAAGCCAGTACATGTCTCCTGAGTGGCGCAGTGGTCTAAGGCACTGCATCGCAGTGCTAACTGTGCCACTAGAGATCCTGGTTCGAATCCAGGCTCTGTCGCAGCCCGCCGCGACCGGGAGACTCATGGGCGGCGCACAATTGGCCCAGCGTCGTCCAGGGTAGGGGAGGGAATGGCCGGCAGGGATGTAGCTCAGTTGATAGAGCATGGCGTTTGCAACGCCAGGGCTGTGGGTTTGATTCCCACGGGGGGCCAGTATAAAAAAATAAAAAATATGTATTCACTAACTGTAAGTCGCTCTGGATAAGAGCGTCTGCTAAATGACGTAAATGTAAATGTAATGTCCAGGCCCGTCTGAAGTTTGCTAGAGTGCATTTGGATGATCCAGAAGAGGATTGGGAAAATGTCATATGGTCAGATTAAACCAAAATATAACTTTTTGGTAAAAACTCAACTCGTCGTGTTTGGAGGACAAAGAATGCTGAGTTGTATCCAAAGAACACCATACCTACTGTGAAGCATGGGGGTGGAAACATCATGCTTTGGGGCTGTTTTTCTGCAAAGGGACCAGGACGACTGATCCGTGTAAAGGAAAGAATGAATGGGGCCATGTATCGTGAGATTTTGAGTGAAAACCTCCTTCCATCAGCAAGGGCATTGAAGATGAAACGTGGCTGGGTCTTTCAGCATGACAATGATCCCAAACACACCGCCCAGGAAACGAAGGAGTGGCTTCGTAAGAAGCATTTCAAGGTCCTGGAGTGGCCTAGCCAGTCTCCAAATCTCAACCCCATAGAAAATCTTTGGAGGGAGTTGAAAGTCCATGTTGCCCAGCGACAGCCCCAAAACATCACTGCTCTAGAGGAGATCTGCATGGAGGAATGGGCCAAAATACCAACAACAGTGTGTGAAAACCTTGTGAAGACTTACAGAAAACGTTTGACCTGTGTCATTGCCAACAAAGGGTATATAACAAAGTATTGAGAAACTTTTGTTATTGACCAAATACTTATTTTCCACCATAATTTGCAAATAAATTCATTAAAAATCCTACAATGTGATTTTCTGGATTTTTTTTCCTCATTTTGTCTGTCATAGTTGACGTGTACCTATGATGAAAATTACAGGCCTCTCTCATCTTTTTAAGTGGGAGAACTTGCACAATTGGTGGCTGACTAAATACTTTTCCCCCCACTGTATATATATATATATATATATATATATATATGTTACTGCTCGACTAAAACATTCTCGGTTGACCAACAGCCTAACGACCAAAAAATCGACCAGTCGACTAATTGGGGTCACATGTTATCACATTAACTTAACATGAAATCACAAGTGATCACACAAGATCATGTGAAATTCATGTGTTTTTTTCGTAAGGGTTAAGGGTACTGTGCATTTTCCAGTAACTTAATGGCAGTTGGTCACCAAGTAGTTCATGTTTATTTTTCTGTATTTTACTGTCAGCTTGCTGCAAGTAGATATTGTAAAATTCACAGTAACTTACTGTGGTTGATCTCTGTCACTCTCACTGACCTGATGGTGTGGCAGGAAGGTCAGTTTGCTCTCAACCAAGATGTTGAGGCCAGGTGAGTTCCAAAGTGTGTTCACCACAAAGAATGCTTAGTAGATGTCAACTAATGTTAAGCTATCTTGTAATCAGAAAGGTCCGGTAAAAGTACAGTAAGTTAATGAAAGCTGGTTGACAGTTAGTTAACACATAATTCACAGCAACTTCCAGGCAACTAACTGCCATTACGTTACTGTGAAATGCACAGTAACCTCGTAACAGTGCAGAGCTTTGTCACATGCTCAACCTTTGACAACATAACCATCAACCACTTAAACGGGTACAACACTTCCACTGATGGCACAAATACCCAAAATTCTGTAACTTGTTGTTGTTTACCGTACTTTCACTGCAACCAGTAGCCTGTAGTGTACCGTAAAAATTAGAGGAACTTTTTAACAGTGTAGCATTTCATGGCCTAAAACAAAAACATGGTGGAGAGGGAAAGAACAGGATGGTCCTTCACAACCATCACAGCAGTAAAGAACCCTTCCTGATATGCAAAAAAAATAAATGGTTACACATATCACCCTCACCCCTGACAAAGAACCCCTCAAGGGCCTTTTTTTTTAGTGCAGTATTTACGTGATACTGTATTTGACTTCTGTAGAAATAGCAGTTGTACTGCAACTAACCACCAGATGTCGTCCAAACTCTATAAACTGGTAATTGTTACAACACAGCACTGTTTGAAATCTGAAGGTGCCATTTTTTCTACCCAAAGGTCACTCACTAGAATTACACCTTAATTACACCTTTTTAAGAATCCAACAAAGTGAACCCTACAAATACTAGGAAGTATGAGTTAAACCAGTTCTTTCCCATGCAGGCCAAACCAGTGCCCAGTCCCACGCTCTTATGTGTGTACTGTGCTGTATGTGGCTAACATCTCATCCAGTAGCTACATCATGTGCACTTTTCTGAGGATCGACGTCATAATGACAAAGAGATACTGCATTGTCAGCCTGTCTGCCTTCAGCATTAACATTGGGATTCCACAGTCCTGCTTTGCTTGGGTTGCCAAATGCTTACAGTTCATGTTCATCACAAAACCAGCAAACTGTTTTATTTAAACCTTTAGGCTGCATACTATATAATGTGATATACCTGTGGTGTAACTGTGATACTATAACTGTGTACAACTGTGATACACTACATGATGAATACAGTAACCCATCCACTTACCTTTTAGATGCTAGTATTGAATAACACCAGTACAGTGTATTTCACCTCCTCAGAACATCTATCATCCATGACCTTGAATGTCATAATTGACCCTTTGATATTTACATCCACAAGTCTCAGAAGATAGCTACTGACTGAAGATCCTCCTTTTATGTGCATAAGAACACAAGTTAGCATCAATTAATGTTTTCAAACTAAAGCCCACAATGGGATTTAGCTACATTGGTCAGTTTTAGATGATAGAATAGTAGAAGTGCCAGTCAGGTACTTAGGGTCTGACTTGGCACCTGTTCCTTTTCGATAGCACCCCTTCCATGTCCCCCAGCATCCTCCTCCCTAGGTACATAATAACCTTGCCTTGCCATTAACCTACTGCCTTTCCTCTCCTCTTATCCTCCCATCCAACCAACCAACCACCCAACCGTCCCATGACTGTAGCCAAGATGTCCGTCTACAAGAGAATGATGCTGGCATGTTGTTTTGATTGCGGCCATTCAGAGCGTGACTGCTCTTGCATGTCAGCCAATGATAGTAACACGAAGGACACCCTTCAGCAGCGTGGCTTCCCTCTCTCTCCTGTCTCTCTTAATGATTGCTCGACAACTTTAAGTGCCTGTAAGTTGTCAACGTGACACAGCGTGTGTTATCCATGTTTGTGATGTTCACTGTATGTATGTTTATGTTCATGTGGTACAAAGTCTGACTGAGTTTTCTGTGTCATTTAAAAGGAATCTATAGTTTAAATATGGCAGTTTTGTTAGCTTCTGCCGTGATTGTTGATGTTGTTGGATATTAGTGTTATGATTTTGGTTATTGTCTTCGTCCTGCTACTAGTGAAGATGGTAGTTGTCTTGTAGCGCATGCTATGTTAGTCTAGCGTGTGTTGTGCTGGTGTTTCTTCATAGTTTGTATTTTGGTTTTACTTTAGTGTCAGATCATTTACTGCTTTATTGTTGTTGTTTTAAAAATGGATAATTTATATGGATTCGTTCAAGATGGGTATGAAATGATGTATCATTATTTTATTGAATTATGAAATGTATTTAGTTGGTTACAGTACATTTCTTACATATGAAGAAGTTTAGTTTATTGACTAAATTCTATATTTCTGCTAATATTTAGATATTTTGGGTGGACAGTACCAATTCTGCTTGCCTTTATTATTTGGACATCGTAGAAGGGTTTCATAATGCTGTGGCCTATGTGGTACATTTACTAGTGACCTGGATCACTCATCACAAAGATGCTTTAAGAGTCCGGGCTATAAGACACACAACCCAGCTTGCCAAGTAACAAGCCCCTGCAGATAGAGACAGACATGGAGCCAAGGGAGCTTTGTCTCTGATAACTCAGGCCCCTACAGACAGAGACACTGACATGGAGCCAAGGGAGCTTTGTCTCTGATAACTCAGGCATTTTATATCTCTCTGAGGTGTCGGCGCATGACATCATTACGTTGTTGTTTGTGTCGGGGGAAAATAAGTCCTGGGAAGAACAGAATATGCAATGTGTTGTTACATGTTACTTTGATATATTAAGTCAGTCCAAATTTGTTTAAGCAAACGTCTTTTGATCAAAGCAGATCTGCAGCACATTGTTACATCTCTGGGGCTATCCTCTCCCCTCCAGCTGCATCATGTCTTCCAGGGCTGATGTGGATGTGACCAGCTGACTAGCTGTAGTCTGGCTGCATGGATAAGATAGCAGAGAATGCTCCAGAGTTGCTGTCTACACGGTGTGCGGTACGCTGAGGGCCTTACGCGGGCTGACATGGAAATTATGTTTGCATTTCTTTTTTTTTGAGTGCTACTGGTTATCATGAAACTCAGGGTGACAGTTCCTACCCACTAGGCAACCCAGAGCCCCCTCTCTCCTCTCTCTCTCCCTTCCTCTCTCCCTCTCCCCATCTCTTGCTCTCTCTCGCTCTCTCCCCATCTCTCTCCCCCCAGAGCCCCCTCTCTCCTCCTCTCTCTCTCCTTTCCTCTCTCCCCATCTCTCTCTCCCTCTCGCTCTCTCTCCCCATCTCTCTCTCTCTCCTCCCCCCAGAGCCCCCTCGTTGGGGGACAGATGCTAGTCTGTTAGTCCTGTGCCGGCCGATCGCATGCGACAGATGCCAGGACCAGCATGGTCCCTGGTTGAACATGTCCTGTCACAGTCCTGCCTTTAGCCCAAAGCCTGACCTTTATATTGTACTATACAGGGATGGGGATACAATGTGTAAGGTACTTATGAACATGCACTTTCTCCAAAAGCTGACTCACAGAAAGTAACTTCCATGCATCCAGATGTTCCCAGGCAATCCTGTGGACTCGGATGTCCTATTTCTTTTTCATGGGGAGTAGGGAAAACCTTTCCTTTGTAAATGTAGACCATTCTGCTATAGGCCTCTGTCATCGATGTATGCTGTACAACTACGTTGCGCTGTCTAAGTAAGAATAAGGTTGATCATTTTAAGTGAACCATTCATAATTTCAGCTTGCTGACGGCATCACCGCAAGTCATTGAAACATCCTTCTTTTTCTTAATACATATTTATTTTTCCATTGCTTTGTCCATAGGGTCTTCAAGACACACCACAGTTCAGTAGTGTCTTAAAGAGATTCAACCCAACAGCGTCTTTATAACCAACATTATAACCTGTATTATCATGCTATATCATTTGCTCTCATTGCAACAACCCTGTAACCTATCATTGTATCTGCATTTTTCTCAGCAAAAAATAACTATAACGGATATATCAAATCAAGTAAGTTTTGATTTCAATGTATGTTTTTATTTGTTACTTAACGTCATTAACCCTCCTCCCAGTCCCCTGTCCATTCCCTGCCTCCATCCTTCTGACTGTGTCTACCTCATATTTTCCTGTTTGCTCGTCAGTAGGGTTGGGGTCAATTCCATTTCAATTCAGTTAATTAATTCAGGAAGTAAACTTAAATTCCAATTCCACTTTTCCTTAATGGTTATTTTTCTAATTGGAGTAAAATTGGAAATGGAATTCCAGTTTACTTCCTGGGTTGACTGCATTTGAATAGAATTCACCTCAACCCTGCTCTTCAGTCACTCCTGTGTTTCACTGCTCAATCATTTCACATCCTGAACCACTGACGTTGATAAAGAGATGTCGTGTGTTATGTCCCTCTGGACTGGGCTGTGTGTCTTTGGGAGGGAGGCTAGTGTCTGTCTGAGGTTGCCCTGTGATAAAACATTGCTGTACAGTAAGCCTAACATTGTACATGAGGCAAATTAAGTTTGTATAACTCTCATGATAACATTTTATTGTATCACATGATTTATTAATTTAAAAATATATATTGGTGGAAAATACAGACCAATACCTGTTTTTCAGTTTTATTCCAATTCTATACTATTCCAATACTATATGTTTAATTAAGTATTAGTTGTAATTTGAGCAGTAGATGGTGCTACTGCTCTAAGGTATCTCTGGATGTTAGAGTTAAGATCACTGGAATGTAGAGTAAAGCACTCTAGTTCTCAGATAACACTTACAGTATGTCTGGAGAATTTCAAGAGAACCTGGAAACAAACAGCTATCAAAACCAATGTCTAAAATAGCTATTGGATCAATTGTTTCAATTTGGGGGGGGGGGGGGGGGGGGGGGGGGGGGGGTTGACAATGAAAAAACATAATCTTCTACATTATTGAGCATTATTTAGGAGGGGTATAGTACAGTGAGAAAATATTACTATAGGCGATCTACAGAGTTGAGGGTCCCAGGCAATGATTTATATATACACTAGATGACTTATAGGGGGTGCTGTGTTGAAGCCACCACGCCTCCATCTTGGCAGTCCCCCATCATTGTAAAAAATATTTTGGAAGCTATAGAAATGCAGTTATTAATTACTATATTAATTTTTGCCAAGTTAATTCTATTACAGACACCTTAATACATACTTTAAATTATATTATGTGAGCTAAACATAAAAATACAAAATATAAAATACAAAAACATTTTCCTTAAAGTATAATTTTTTGAGATTACTAATGTTACTGTCCCCACTACAACAACGCACAATATCCCATAACGACAAAGCAAAAACAGGTTTTTAGAAATGTTTGCTAATTTATTACAAATTAAAAACAGAAATACCTTACTTACATAAGTATTCAGATTTTCAGAATGCACTGTACATCCTTGGTCCTAGATAGCCAGCACATCTGCCACAATGTGTTGTCCCTGCTGTAAAGCTGTGTGGGTTTGACATGGGACAGATGAATGCAGGAGGTTTGGGGCTGGGACGGTAATGTATTAGACAGCTGACCGATTAAATAATCATCTCTACACCCTGGCTTCACTGGCTTCTGCTCCCAGCTAGCTTTCGGCGAGGTGGAAATATCTTTCTTCCTCCTAATGGTATTGTTAGATTTTAGTCATATTTACCATTTTTGTCTAGGAAACTAGATAAGTAAATAAACAAGTAGATTTTGCAGCTTTGATTAGGGATTAAAATAGTTGATATGTTAGATTTATTGTGATAAACTGCGCTTAGTTCATCCTCATTCAGCATTATGCTATTTTTCCTTTTCAGACACTGGTTGTAAATGTCCGTTGTCATGCCGTTGTTCTTATAGTACAACAATCCAAGTAACACCTGAAAGCCCTGCTGTTGATTAATTAATGTTTATTATGAATATCAAAGTAAATGTCATATCTAAAATTTCATTTTAAGAGTCTACTGGTTAAGTGGTGTTTAATAACAATGAGCTCCTTAATTATTTAACTGTTAGTATTCTTGTGCCATATCCCCTACTTAAAATAATAATGAATGACACGACTGTGAAAAGAAATCCACTAATATCCGACCCATTATAATGTCATTTTAATTCAACCCCATAGTAACTAATTTGAGGACAGACTACATTTCATAAACTACAATTATAATTTTTTGCTAATTTTCATTATTTTCTATCTGGCAGTTAAAGACGACACCCTTATCAAAAGGTCAACCTATCAGAACAAGTCTATTAAATTGAACCACAACTCCACGGCCCACCATAAAGCAGCAACAGCCCACAGTGGAGTAGTACTGCCCGGCTTTGGGTCCGGCTCTGGGTCAGTTCCTCTAGTCAACAACCGTAAAGGAAGCCTGCAGCCTTCCAGGGAGCCCTCAGTGCTGAGGCGTAGCCTCCTGGGCTCCAGAGAGCTGGTCCAGGTGGCGATGGGACCAGGTGGACCAGGAGGACCAGGGGGGCTGGCAGCAGAGGAGGCTAGCAGGCTCCAGAGGGCACGTAGCCTGCCAGTGAAATACAGATACCACCCCAGTCACTCCAGTAACACCACCCTGCTCAATATGAGACACTGTACATGTAAGAAGCCCTCTCGCATAGAGCCGCAGCATGGTGTGGCTAGCTAGGCTAACTAGGCCCCTGCTCACCACCACTAGATGACAACAGACAGTGCATGTGTTTGAGACTGTGGCTGGGGTAGAGTGGAGAGATTGCAAGCCCCCCCCCCCCGTGTTGCCCTTCCGTGCGGCACGGTGTGGCTAGACTAGCTAGGCCCGGCTCAACAATACTAGCTAGCATCATAACGCATGTGTTTGTGAGTGAGGCTGTTGCTAGGCTGGAGTGGAGGGGTTGCAAGCCCCCTTTGCGTTTCGCCTCTGTGCGGCACGGTGTGGCCAGGCCCGGCTCAACAGCTAACGTCACAACGCATGTGTTTGTGACTGAAGATAAGGCTGCTGCACTGCTAGGGTGGAGTGGAGTGGTTGCATGTGTAGCATTCCTTACTGATGACCCAGTGTGTGCAGCTGTCAGCTGGGAGCTATTAAATATTGAACAAACTGACTGAGGAAGATGTGAACAAACGACCAGCCATCTCCAAAAGAGTGTGTACGTGTGTTTGTGTGTGTGTGTGTTTGTGTGCCTGCGTGCATGTGTGCGTGAGCAGCATCCCACTCCACTGAAAGCCCCTAACTTACAGTGCTTTGTCCCAGTTTCCATTATTCTGTCATAGGTAGACATGCCAGCAGCGTTGAGATTGGGCGTGTAGCCCATCTTCAAAGGACCATGATATTTGAGATGTTATTAATTTGAATGTAGGAGTTGCATTCTAGTCTCCTTTGTAAAGGAAGGTCAGGTTGAAACACGTGTCGTGTTGACAGTCTGAAACATCATTTAAAACCACTTAGCGGCTTCTCCTGGTTTTGTCTGGGTGTGTCCCAAACGGCACCCTATTCCCTAGTGCACTACTATGGGCCCTGGTTAAAAGTAGTGCACTATATAGGGAATAGGGTGCCATTTGGGACAAAGTCCTGGTTTTGTATATCTAACTCGTTATAACTCAACATGGCTGCCAACATGGCTAGTCGTGTGTTAAAGATAAGTGAATAGAAACGCTAACATCCAATGAGAGGCTTTTAGTAACAGTATTAGTTAGAAGCTGTTAACTTGCTGTTTTTCTTTATTTTTACTCAACAGAGGAGCTGTTTTTTATTATTTCTTTTTTTGTGTATAAATGTGATATCAGCTAGCGTAAATTAATTTCTACTCAAGGGTGAAACTTGTAATTAATTTTTCCGCAAAGAGAAGAGCATGGGTTGGTGCATGTAGTTTCACGTAGTGGTAAAAAACAATGTCCAAGGGGCAGCTGAGCGGTGGATAAATCATAGTGGCACTCAGACCAACCTAATTACACGAGCCAAGGGCATCGCAGTCAATGTCGTCAGGCCCCGAGACGAGAGGAAACTGAAGACCAGCCACCTCAGATGTGTTCAGACATTGGAACAAAGGGGCCATATTTACGATGTCATCTCCGTGATATTATGCTTTATTATCTTAATTAGATGAACGTTGTGAGGGATTTTCATAGCCAGCAGTAGAAGCATGTTAAGTGTTTCTAAAGTAATGAGTAGTCGCTAATAGGACATGGGCATATTGAATTTTAAATAAGATTTGCTTATATTGGGTTAATGTATGTATCACAGTCAGTCACACACTCCTAGTGATACTAGGGGCTCGATTCAATCCGTATCGCTGAAGTTCCTTTGAATGAAGTTGCGATTGAAATTTAAAGGGAATTTCCGATTAAGCCGACATATGCAGTGTTTACCGTGAATGCAGTCTCCGCTAACGCTGGAATATTGCCTTTAAATTTCTATTACGCTACGGATTGAATCGAGTCCTAGCTAGCTAATTCCATGGGTTGATTCCATACTGCATTTTTTAATTAAAACGATTCAGAAATGGTTTGCTTTAGGAGGATGATTACAATTTGTATATTTCTAAAGAACGTGAACAAGATATACAGTATTAAAGTAGAAACATATCACAAGGAAAAGAAAAGGTATAATTTGTAAATGCCCTTCTAGTGTGGGCTTGGTATTATGGTGATTCTTGGACTGTATTGTGCAATTGTTGTCATAGAATATTCTACGCACAGTATGTAGGCTACAGTAAGAGCTGAAATGAGCACTTATCAAAGTTTTACAGTAAGTCAGTTTTACACTAAGTCTGTTACAGAAATGATATTTTACATGAAGTCTGCTTTACAGCAAGTCAGTGGTACATTAAATCAGCAGCATGATGGGGATGGCTCTGCAGCATGTTGGATCATTATGTTCACACACGCTGACTATGTGCACATGCATTTTGGTTGAGTTGCATTTTGGGGATTTTGGACTGTTTGTCAAACATGTCAGGTTGTAGTTGCATACCATGTGTCCTCCCGTCCCGTCCTGTCCTTACCCCATCTCACCCTTTCCTCACCCCTTCCTCACCCCCTAGTCTCCCGTTCCTTATTCTAACCTCTCTCTTACCTCTCTTTGGGATCTTCTCTGACTTTTGTACTGATTGTGTTGTCTTGGTGTCGTTACTTACATACAGTAAATGTATGACTTACTGTAAGTGTTGTCACTCAGCCATTCCTTTGCTCCCCACACTCTTGCCTGTGCTTGCAGTCGAAGAGGAGCAGCAGTCGACACTGTCGCCTAAAAAGAAACAACGCAATGGAAACACCAGGAACTCGCCCAACGGTTCACCCAAAATGATGAGGTAGGACAACCGCTTCAAGAGAGAGCACTATCTATCAGTAATGTTGTTTTCTATTTCTTTAACCTAACAACTGTGTGATAAGTGTCTCACGGAATGAGACAAAGAAAAAGAAGGGACAGAGAACTCTGACGCTGAAGCATTTTTACTCTGTCAGTTCGTCAGCGGTTAATGACACATAGAGCCTCAATATTTATTTCACGAGAGAGACAGACCGACCGACCATGAGAATCTGTTGGAGAAATACTCTAGCTTTAAGGCTTCAACTGCCACCCTCCTAATCCCATCCACATGTACTGGAGTCTTTAAACAGCAGTGACACTAATGACATCACCAACCAATCAGAGAGGCTCCTGTGGTTCTATCGCCCGGGGCTACTCCTCTATTGTAGCGATCCCTTTGAGTTCTATTTTTGGTTCATAAGGCCACGGGTGATGTGCACCATCACCATCCAAACTGAAAATCAAATGCTACCTTGCTTTTATCTTGTCCCATGGAATTAAATGAGTGTTTATTGATTTTGACGGGTGATAGGGACTGCTATTCAACACGAGGCCATTAGAGGGAATAGAAGAGTCGTTATCATTAAAGGGGAAAGGTAATAGACGAACCAGGTCAGAGGGAAGTCACACAGCAGCGTATGGAACAACTCCAAACCTCTCTGTATAAAACGTGATGGAATTCTACTGTACATTACTAATCTATATACTTGTGTAAAAGTAAGTTGAATTGAAGGTACTTCCAAGCAAGTTATAATACTATACTTTGTAGTTAACCACAAACATTTGTTCACCTGCTTACATGAGGAAATCACCTTTGTGCAGAAAACTAAGGAGTGTCCCTATTCGTCACATAATGTATGCATGTTTTCTTTGATCTGTTTGACTGGACATTTTTCTTAGCAGGCATTTGATTTGCTTTAAAGTGGTGTCAGAGCTGTACAGTACCGCTTTAGGAGGTTTCCCTGGCTCCTGGGTAGGTAGTCGAAGACCTGGGGGTCTGTAATGTTACTCAGACTAAGGCCTTTTCATGTTGTAGCCCTTAGCTAAACGGACGCTAACACACCAGAGTCACACCAAAGTGTGTAATGTACAGTGTTTATTTTGTATACAGCAGTACTGTGTGTCTAAGCCAATTTCCCCTTCGGGGACATGGAAGTTTATCCTATCGTATCCTCTTCCTCTGTTAGTCATGTTAATACTGCTGGATATACAGGTGGATCTGATCTTTCATATATGAACTACTTAGGAGCTACACGGTGCATCGCCTGGCTGCATGCGCTGTGGAGAATGGGGGATTGTTTGGGGTAGCCTCAGGGATACTTTATTTCTACAAGCGGAGAAAAAAAAAACATTTGGTTATGTATACCATGTCAAATGGGTTTTCTACAGGACCTGGGGGCCCCACGGCCTCTGTAAATAAGTAATGATCAACAGATTGGCTGTGGGTTTTTGAAAAGCATGCCTTTGTCAGTTTGTATGATGAGGGGTGCATTTTCAAAGCCATCGGCTGCTTTCATTGCCTACTGGAGCGGAGCGGGACAGAGTGTTCATCACGGCTAGGAGAGACTGCAGCTATAGTGCTCTTACTAAAGGGAATGCTGGAAGAGGAAATTTGACACAAATAAAATGCCCAGCTTCTAGCAGAGTTTCTTCTCAGTTGAGCTGTCAACTCCTCTAGAATTCAGTGATTTTATACGCTACTGATGTTTTATCTTTCATGTTGAAAGTGAATCTAAATTCATTCATCACTATGATAGGCTTACAAGCTAGGCAAGCTAGGCTGGAGAAATATTACTCATTAGAATGTAAAAAAAATACCTAACATTTTTCTTGGATCACGGATGGATCTGAAACCTATGGCATTCACAAAGATTTCAACTCTGCTAAATCTACACAGTGTGAATAATTAAACCCATAGCCTACAGTATGTGTTGATGAAAGCAATCAGCTGTGGAGATACTAGGAGATATCGGCTGAGTCCCAAATGGCACCCTGTTTCTTAAGTACATAGTGCACTTCATTTTGGTCAAAAGTAGTGCACTATTTAGGGAATAGAGTGCCATTTGGGATGCAAGATGGTGATAAAGCCATCTCCTGATGATGGCAGTTAGAGAATGTGACATGTCACTGAAGTAACAAGTCACACCTCACCCCCTCCTCCACTATCCTCCTTGACGATTTCCTCCTCGCTGAAATTAACACCATTTCCATACCTCTTGATGGGCCATGAGACACATCTAATTGTGGAAAGTCACAAAGCATTTGCTCATACCCGTCTGCACCGTGACACACATGTCATGTCGGGTACAGTGCGGCTGAGGCGAGCGGCGGTGTAGGCTAGTGACAGGCAGCCAGGCCGTCATGGTTGAGTCCCAAATGGCACCTCATTCCCTATGTAGTGCACTACTAATGACCAGAGCCTCATGGACCCTGGTCAAAAGTAGTGCACTATATATAGGGAATAGGGTGCCATTTGGGATGCAACCAGTGTGTCTGTGAGACTGTGAGAGATAGCTATCTTGGCAGACAGAGTCTCTGCCTCAATCACCAGTCATGGTGGGGAGTGGATATTGAAGTGACAGGCCTCCACTGAGTGAGTGGTGAAACATGTGGCTCGTAATGAAATATTTAGCTGGGCTGTAAAAGCACTAAATGCTTTCACTCTTATTAGCACCTGTTCTAGTCTTCCTTTCACCTTCCTACAGATGATTAAGAATGCAACATGTCAGGCCGTCATTGTAAATAAGAATTTGTTCTTAATTGACCTGCCTGGTAAAATAAAGGTTTAAAAAAAGTCAATTGAAAATGTTAGATCAGCCCAGCCAAAATGTACATATACAAAGTACATATGAAGGAGCTAATGGTTCATACTTTGAACTAGAGGTATAAACACATGCAGGCAACTACTGAGACCAATTGATAAAATACATTGAGATAACCAATTGCTAATAAAAGTGGATGTTTGTGATGATCAACCATTGTGAGAACTAGGCCTATTTCATAAATTGTATTCTCTTAAAATGACCTGTTCAACATAAACTACATTACCAAAAGTATGTGGACACCTGCTCGTCGAACATCTCATTCCAAAATCCTGGGCATTAATGTGGAGTTGGTCCCCCTTTTGCTGCTATAACAGCCTCCATTCTTCTGGGAAGGCTTTCCACTAGATGTTGGAACATTGCTGCGGGAACTTGCTTCTATTCAGCCACAAGATCATTAGTGAGGTCGGACACTGATGTTGGGCGATTAGGCCTGGCTCACAGTCGGCGTTCCAATTCATCCCAAAGGTGTTCGATGGGGTTGAGGTCAGGGCTATGTGCAGGCCAGTCAAGTTCTTCCTCACCGATCTCGACAAACCATTTCTGTATGGACCTCGCTTTGTGCACAGGGGCATTGTCATGCTGAAACAAACTGTTGCCACAAAGTTGGAAGCACAGAATCGTCTAGAATGTCATTGTATACTGTAGCGTTAAGATTTATTGTGTGGCCTACCACTTCGTGGCTGAGCCGTTGTTGCTCCTAGACGTTTCCACTTCACAATAACAACACTTAAAGTTGACCTGGGCAGCTCTAGGATGGCAGAAATTTGACGAACTGACTTGTTGGAAAGGTGGCATCCTATGACGGTGCCACGTTGAAAGTCACTGAGCTTTTAAGGCCATTCTACTGCCAATGTTGGTCTATGGAGATTGCATGGCTGTGTGCTCGATTTTATACAGCAACGGGTGTGGCTGAACTAGCTGAATCCACTAATTTGAAGGGGTGTCCACATACTTTTGTATAAATAGGGTATATTCACATATTTAAGTGTGGGTCATGCACTATACTATAACAACCAATACTTTACCTCCGCTAACCCTGTTTAAACACAACCTTTGTGTCTTTCACGTACAAATATGCGTCTTTTTGAATTGTCATTTTGAATTGAGTTCTCCTGACAGATTTGAGCTTGAGAAGTAGAATGCATTTTAAAAGGGGCAATCTGCAGTTGCTTCATCCATTTTTGAACTTATTAATTAATGATATGTACCCATTGATTCTTGAAGATTATAATAAATATAAATGCCTCATGAGTTTAGTTCAACTGTTGTACCCCATCAGAACCCAAAATATAAGCTTGTTTTACTCCAATGTTTGTAAAAAAAGTAAATCTAAATAAACACTGTATAGCCTCAAAACATGGTTAAAACTATAATGTTGATATAATGGATGGTCAGTCCTTGCATCCATAGCTCTGTCCATGAATTTTAGAGTGGTTACATTTCTCCAGCCCCATCCCTCAGTTTTTTACCAAAACGGGCAGGAGGTCGCTTTGTTATTGTTTCAACTGCTGATTGCTGCTTTAAAGAAGGCGATTGCCAGTGTTATCCAACTACTTTCCTGAGAGAGAGGACATTATGGCTATAGCCTTGGGTTAAAACCCCACAGGCAGACATTTTGGGTCTCCTGTCTGATGCAGCCTGAGGGATTGTACTTTCAGTTGACACCATCATGCATACTTAAAACCTTACTTAGGGTGGCATTCTTCTAATGTCCATAAAGATCAAAGATACAGTGCTTTTAACTGATAAAGTATATAAAGTATTTAAAGGGATGAAAACAAAGGTTTCCTGTGTATATTTCAGAGGGTACTATCTTCAGGCAAATGTATTTGACAAATCCATGTTGTAACGAAAGCTAGTGACAATGTATGGAACTAAAAGTAGTATTTATTTTCAAAGATAAATATGGTAACAGGCATGCTTATTTCTCTAGGCCTGTAGCACTTGATGATAAGGCGTTATATCCTAAAACACAATTATTAATCCCATATAAAATGTGCTTTAACCCTCATACTACCGATTGGCCCTATTTGAAATGAGATACCTTTCCTCTCCACAACCTGAATATTACAACTGTTTTCAAAAGGACTGTAAAGATCATATCTTTAACGTCAAAGCATTCACAGTACAACCGCAGGTACCCTTGTTCGTAGACCATTTAGTGGTCAGTGTAGGATAGCATCAAGCTCAGATGCTCAGTAGAAATGGGTTTGTTCGGTCCTGACACACACACTGCTCGGATGCTAAAACATTAATGGCCTTCAGTTTGGAAAGCAAATATGATTGGGCAAATGGCTGAAATATTTAAAGTGCGGTCTGTTAAAGCTTTTACCGTGAGGAGTGCAGCGTCAGAAGCTGTATGCTGTAAGGAGGCCGTAATTGGTTGTCCATGCTCATACCAGTCAGAGGGTTTGTCCCAAATTGCACCCTATTCCCTATATATTGAGCCCCATGGGCCATGGTCAAAAGTCATAGTGCACTATATAGGGAGTAGAGTGCAATTTGGGAGGCATCCAGAAGCAGTGTATTGCTGCCATCTCCTTCCTTCTTCCTCCTCACCACTGTTGTAGATGTCACTCACTCTGATGACCCTGCAGTTTGTTGGCGTCTCCACTGATGGCTTCTGTCAGGAATAAGCAGAGGAAAAGAGGCTGAAAAGAAAATTATAACATAAAGCTTTGACTTTGACTTTTAGTAAAAGTGATTTGTTTGCAGATCCCCTAAAAGGTTTTTTATATTATATTGATGAGTATGTTTTGAGGACGGAAACTGGAATTTTATGGGCAGTCCTGCTGATAGCTTATGTGAAAACCCGAAGGAGGTAAAGTGCTATATTGAGTGCAGGACACTAAACAATAGTGAAAGAAGGTGCGAACACATAGACACATAGTTTGCGTCCCAAAGGCACCCTTTCCCCATATAGTGCACTGCTTTTGACCAAGGCCCATAGTGCTCTGGTCAAAAGTAGCACGCTACAGTATATAGGGAATAGGGTGCCATTTGTGACACATACAGTGCCTTCAAAAAGTATTCATACCCCTTGACTTATTCCAACATTTTGTTGTTACAGCCTGAATTCAAAATTGATTATTTATTTTTTTCCTCACCCATCTACACACAATACCCTATAATGACAAAGTTAAAACATGTTTTTAGAATTTTTACAAATGTATTGAAAATGAAATACAGACATATCTAATTTACATAAGTATTCACACCCCTGAGTCAATACATGTTATAATTACCTTTGGCAGCGATTACAGCTGTGAGTCTTTCTGGGTAAGGCTCTAAGAACTTTGCACACCTGGATTGTACAATATTTGCACATTATTATTTTTACAATTCTTCATGCTCTGTCAAGTTGGTTCTTGATCATTGCTAGACAGCCATTTTCCAGTCTTGCTATAGATTTTCAAGCCGATTTAAGTCAAAACTGTAAATAGGCAACTCAGAAACATTCAATGTCGTCCTGGTAAGTTATTGTCCTGCTGAAAGGCAAATTTGTCTGTTGGAAAGCAGACTGAACCAGGTTTTCCTCTAGGATTTTGCCTGTGCTTAGCTCTATTCCGTTTATTTTTATCCTAAAAAACTCCCTAGTCCTTGCCGATGACAAGCATACCCATAACATGATGCAGCCACCACCATGCTTGTAAATATGTAGAATGGTACTCAGTGATGTGTTGTATTTGCCCCAAACATAACGCTTTGTATTCAGGACAGAAAGTTAATTTCTTTGACACATTTTTTAAAGTTTTACTTTAGTGCCTTATTGCAAACAGGATGCATGTTTTGGAATATTTTTGTTCTGTACAGGCCTCTTTCTGTCATTTAGGTTAGTATTGTTGAGTAACTACAATGTTGTTGATCCATCCTCAGTTTTTTCCTATCACAGCCATTCAACTGTTTTAAAGTCACCATTGGCCTCATGGTGAAATCCCTGAGCGGTTTCCTTCCTCTCCGGCGACTGAGTTAGGAAAGGCGCCTGTATCTTTGTAGTGACTGGGTGTATTGATACACCATCCAAAGTGTAATTAATAACTGCACCATGCTCAAAAGTATATTCAATGTCTGTTTATTTTTATTTTCCCCATCTACCAATAGATTCCCTTCTTTGCGAGGCATTGGAAAACCTCCCTGCTCTTTGTGGTTGAATCTGTGTTTGAAATTCACTGCTCGACAGATAATTGTATGTGTTGTAAATGGCAAAAAACATAATTCCTCTTTGATATTATGGGGTATTGTATGTAGACCAGTGACACAAAATCTCAATTTAATCAATTTTAAATTAATGTTGTAACACAACAAAATGTGGAGAAAGTCAAGGAATGTGAATACTTTCTGAAGGCACTGTACATACTGTAAGCAGCACTCAGGTTCCCTGATCTGAAATAGGTTTTTCTGAGATGTAGACAAAACATCCTTTACTATCCAGATGTTCTTTATCTCTAGCTTGTATGCATGATATACTATACCTCTATCTGCTGAGCTGAACTATAAACCAGATGAATATGTCTCGCCAACTTTCAAGTTATACGACCGCATGTAAATAATGCTCAACAGTTTATTGCCTTTCATCTTGATGTTGAAATATTGAGCAGCGGCTGCCGACCACACCAGTTCATTACGTTTTAAAACGACACAACGACGACAAGCCTCCAAACCTCCCTCCAGGTCTATCTCTCATCCTTCCATTTCTCTCCTCCCTCCCTCACTCCTTCTTTTGTTTGATTAGGCATGACCCTCTCCTCATGCCGGGGAATGAACAGATTGAGAACATGGATGTGAACGTGAAGAAATACGACTCCACAGGGATGTTCCACTGGTGCCAGTCCAAAGACATCGAGAAGGTCATCTTGGTGGGTACCTCACTCCCTCACGCTTCTCCATACTCCCTCACACTGAGGGGGGTCATTCATCAGTGGTTGCATCCCAAATGGCACCCTGTGTATAGGACATTTCTTATACCAATATGCTGTATTAGAAATGGCAAATTACGATCTAATAGACAGTCTATTACAGTCAGTAGGCTAATAATAATTTCAAGGGACACTTTCTTCTTTAGAATATTCAGAATAACTGAACTGAATGAGGATAACATTGGTTAGTAATTCGCAGCCTGCAGGTATAATGCTTTATTATTTGTTATAAGTAAGAGCCTTTCTAATGTCCTTTTATAAGACTTATATTATGTCAATGGATTTTTTTCCCTGTCTCAGACCAGAAGTGAAGCAGCCATGACTGTTCTAAGCGGCCACGTGGTCGTCTGTATATTTGGAGATGCGAAGTCGGCTTTGGTGGGCCTTAGGAACCTTGTGATGCCTCTGAGAGCTAGCAACTTCCACTACCACGAGCTGAAACCCATCGTGTTTGTGGGTTCTCTGGAGTATCTAAAGAGGGAATGGGAGACCCTTCACAACTTCCCCAAAGTCTCCATCTTACCTGTGAGTAGAGCTAAATCACATTTTGATAATTGAGGTCGTCAGTTTGTTTTCCTCCAGAAGAAAGACACAAAAGGAATATGAGTTAACTGAAACAGAGTTAACTAACTGAAACTGAGACTCAGCGATATGACGTGACCATTCGCACTTTGTACAATGACTATCTTTGTTTAATGTTATCACACTGTTTATACCTTTACATTTTGGCTTTGTTCAAGTACAGTGGTGTATAAGTTATTACACTAACAAATTGCTGTAAATTTACAGTTACCTACTGGCTACTGTGCTGCCAGCAATTTACTGTAAAAATTACAGGAAATGTTTTACAGTGTATAGAATAACATTGTTTTACCTTTCTATCCCTCTCCTGTCACAGGGCACATCATCACTTCTCTACTGTTATAATTTATTATAGAATAACAATGTTTGTTCATCATATGTCACAGGGCACACCATTAAGCCGGGCCGATCTGAGGGCTGTCAATATCAACCTCTGTGACATGTGTGTCATCCTGTCGGCCAATCAGAACAATATCGACGACGCGTCACTGCAGGACAAGGAATGCATCCTGGCGTCACTCAACATCAAGTCCATGCAGTTTGACGACAGCATCGGGGTCTTGCAGGCTAGCTCCCAAGGTAAGGAATGGGAAGGAGTAGGCCTATCATAGTTCAGTGCTCTGCCCAGAGGGGACAGGCCCTGGCAGGAAGAATATCCCTGATCTGGTGTGTTTGACAGGAAAGCCTGGTGATTATTGGTCTTCAATGACTAGATAGCTTCTGATTGGTTTCTTCGCAATGTAATTGGTTATAATCTGGCATTATCCTGTCATAAAGCTTTACTTGAGAAAGCGAAGTAAATTAAATGTGTATTTGCTTGTAGATTAAAATGCAAATGAGGTAATAATAAAAAATACATATTATTATTAACATGTAATCAATCTGACGTTATTATAATTTTTTTAATAGTAGATCATTTATGAATATTATATCAAACAATTATCGTGTGAGGAGTGGAAGTGGAGTGAGATGGTATTCAATAATGGCCTGCCACTCCCTGCCATTGAATGTAATGTAAATGAGACCTCTTGACATGAAAATACATTTCTGTGCACTTTGGTTGTGTCTCTAATACTTGTATGACCTAGCGGTTTGCCTTAGTCAGCAGCAAGTCACTGATGTCAAAACACGGACCATGTATAATGCATACAGCATCGCTGAATTCATGTGTTTACTTGTCAGTTTGAGGAAAGCAAGAAATGTCAAGTCAATCTCACATCACTTGTTTTATTATTTTGTGGCTTTAATGGAAACAAAATGTGCCACGTAACATTTGTTATGTTTTACGGATGGCTGGAGGGACCTCTCAAGAATAATGCACTCAACATTGTTTCATATTGTCTTACTACAAATGATTTGAATGTGACCAAGAATGGCTAAAATATATATAAACGTATTATTAATAAATCATTATTTTTACTTTATTTCCTTTCTACTGATATACCTTCCTCAGGTAATAGATAAGTGAAGGGAAAGGGGGGTACCTAGTCAGTTGCACAACTGAATGATTTCAACCTAAATGTTTATTCCGCATTTAACCCAACCCCTCTGAATCGGAGAGGTGCGGAGGGCTGCCTTAATCGACATCCACGTCATCGGAGCCCGTGGAACAGTGGGTTAACTGCCTTGCTCAGGGGCAGAACGACAGTGCTACATAGCAGGAATGTGTTATGTAGTAATATTCATAAAGCCTTTATAACAGCTACATAAGGCCTTTTAATATCTGTCATAGGCAGTCATTAACGTCTATATATGTTTGCATGTAGGTTTCACTCCTCCAGGCATGGACAGGTCCTCTCCTGAAAACAGTCCAGTTCATGGGGGGTTGGCCCGACAGGCTTCCATCACAACAGGAGCCAACGTCCCCATTATCACTGAACTAGGTATGTCAGCAGGTATGAATGAAATGTCACTTTGACAAACTCTTTTAGGAGAAAAGTTTCATGTAATTAAATTAATACTTTTTTTGTAATGATTGTACCGTTTTGGAGTGACAGAAAAGCACCAAAATGAATTGCCTCATTGAGAATGTACTATTTTTCCCCTAATCTAATCTATTGTGGTATAGTAAGAATGTTTCAGGTTTTGACGATGAAACCCAACCAAAACCAAACAGAGCATAATTCCTAAGTCAATTACTGCTCTCTAACATTCTGAAGATAATTTTCATGTTTTTAACCATGTATGACTAATACATTAATCTTAATAACCTCTTGAGGCTGTGGTTGCATCCCAAATGGCACCCTATTACTTAGGTAGTGCATTACTTTTGACCCGGGCCCTGTGCCTTGGTCAAAAGTAGTGCACTATGTAGGGAACAGGATGACATTTGGGATGTAGCCCTAGTCTGGTTCATTCCCATGGTATCACTTTGAGCACATTGTACTATGTTACTCTGATGTTCTCTTGTTTTGGCCTATTTTTTTATTTATTTCTTCATCCCCCTGTTCTTTTCTTTCTCCTTTCTGAGAATCACACCGTCCTTTCATCCCAATACAAGTCCTTGTGGCTGTTTCCATAGTAGCATCTTAGTTCTTCATAGATCATATAGTCTGGCCAATGACCTCCTTCCTTTAAACACCCGGCTGGAAGTCCTGATAGAAGTAGCAGTACTGAAACAAAACTCAACATCAATACTTTCTTTCTAAAATATTTGTGTTTTTTGTGCTCAAAGGCGTGTAAAAAAATAAGATTGACAGTTTTGAGGCAGTGAAAAGTATGTTACAAGACTTTTTAAATTAATACGCTGAACAAAAATATAAACTGCAACGCACAAAAAGCTTATTTCTCTCAAATGTTGTGCAGAAATTTGTTTACATCCCTGTTAGTGAGCATTTCTCCTTTGCCAAGATAATCCATCCACCTGACTGTTGTGGCATAGCAAGAACCTGATTAAACAGCATGATCATTACACAGGTGCACCTCGACCAAACCGGCCGCACGTGCGCATCTATCCCCACCAGACACGTTTATCACACGCAGGTTAAAATACCAAAACCAACTGTGAACCAACTCTATTCATTTGGAGACAGGTCGAAACACACATGAAACATCCATGGACATTTAGCTAGCTTGCTGTTGCTAGCTAATTTGTCCTGGGAGATAAACATTGGGTTGTTATTTTACCTGAAATCCATAATGGTCCTATTTTTTGCTGGATCTTTGTAGAATTTTGACCCATTTTGAGTTAACACACAATTTTGTATCTCTACTTTGACAATTAATTCACAGGTAAAAGGAGAGACCTAGTTAGTTTTTTGTTAGTTTTCTTTAATTAATCTCTCCACATTAATCTTTCAATCACCCACGTGGGTTAGTATGCTTGTGAAAACCAATGAGTAAATGGTAAAGGCGGGACTTACAGCGCATCAAGCCACACAAATACAACCAAGTTCTATTTTAGCGCCTGGCTAAGCAGACGCCCGTCGATGCGCGAGTAGTTTGGATTAAATTTGTGAATAACATGTATGTGTACATTTATTTTGCAAATGCTCACGCACTCAACCTTGCCTGTCTAGTCAGCATGTTACTGTCAAAGTCAACAACATGTGTTTCATGATACTGTAGTAGCAGACACATCAATACGTTCATATTTGTATGTCTCCACCAGTGAATGACTCCAATGTTCAGTTCCTGGACCAGGATGATGATGATGACCCTGACACAGAGTTGTACCTCACTCAGCCCTTCGCCTGTGGGACGGCCTTCGCAGTCAGTGTGCTGGATTCCCTGATGAGTGCGGTAAGACACAAAACCCGGACCTGAAGGCTTGTGTTGGCTCCCCTGAGCGATTGCCTAGGCTTTAGCTCAGTGGGCTCGCCAGAGACCCGGGTTCGGATCCCAGTTGGTAACGCAAAGTGCTTTAAATGCACAATCAAAGAATTGGTTAGGAAAGTGTAACTATAGATGTTTTTAACTAAAAGGGATCTACACAGACATCATCATATCAAGCAAAGTCTTTGTGGAATCCCATTGGTACAATTGCATTTTATGTCCCGGTGTTTAAAACGCTCCAGGAAGACAGACATGAAAGCCTGGCACTTTACCTGGTATGATGGCTTCATCTGTCTACCTTTCACTTTGACTGCGGCTGAAAGAGAAGCTGCCTTCAAGTGCGATTCAATGTAGACAGAGGTCATGCTACTTAATAGATAGGCCTCGTCCATCATTCTGCTCTGGAGCCCTGACAGCAGCCCAGGCAGGGGACATGTCCCTGTGTAGAACAAACAAGGACAGACAGACAGACAGACAGACAGCTGAAGCTTCTATAGTCTACAGCGTTAGAAAGGGGCAGACATCACAGTACAGGCTCACTAATTGGGAACAAAGCAGTGACCAAGATGTGCAAGTTATTAGGGAGAAGGGACCAATAAATAAATAGTCCTGAACATGTTCTCTAGTCTACAGTGGTGTTACATACACTACCGGTCAAATGTTTTAGAACACATACTCATTCAAGGATTTTTCTTTATTTGTACTACTTTCTACATTGTAGAATAATAGTGAAGACATCAAAACTATGAAATAACAGATATGGAATCATGTAGTAACCAAACAAGTGTTAAACCAATCAAAATATATTTGAGATTTTTCCACCACCCTTTGCCTTGATGACAGTTTTGCACACTCTTGGCATTCTCTCAACCAACTTCACCTGGAATGCTTTTCCAACAGTCTTAAAGGAGTTCCCACATATGCTGAGCACTTGTTGGCTGCTTTTCTTTCACTCTGCGGTCCGACTCATCCCAAACCATCTCAATTTGGTTGAGGTCGGGGGATTGTGGAGGCCAGGTCATCTGATGCAGCACTCCATCACTCTACTTCTTGTGACCTGTACGCTCTCATTGGCTGGCCCTCACTACATATTCGTCGCCAAACCCACTGGCTCCAGGTCATCTATAAATCACTGCTAGGCAAATCCCCGCCTTATCTTAGCTCATTGGTCACCATAGCAACACCCACCCGTAGTATGCGCTCCAGCAGGTATATCTCACTGGTCATCCCCAAAGCCAACACCTCCTTTGGCCGCCATTCCTTATCTCCCTCACTAACTTTAAGCATCAGTTGTCAGAGCAGCTTACCGATCACTGCACCTGTACACAGCCCATCTGTAATTAGCCCACCCAACTACCTCATCCCCATATTGTTATTTATTTTGCTCATTTACACCCCAGTATCTCTATTTGCACATCATCTTCTGCACATCTATCACTCCAGTGTTAATACTAAATTTTAATTACTTTGCACTATGGCCTATTTATTGCCTTACCTCCATAACTTACTACATTTGCACACACTGTATATAGATTTTCTATTGTGTTTTTGACTGTACGTTTTTGTTTATCCCATATATAACTCTGTGTTGTTGTTATTTTTAATCGCACTGCTTTGCTTTACCTTGGCCAGGTCGCAGTTGTAAATGAGAACTTGTTCTCAACTGGCTTACCTGGTTAAATAAAGGTGAAATAAAATGAAATAAAATAAAAATAAAATAGCCCTTACACAGCCTGGAGGTGTGTTGGGTCATTGTCCTGTTAAAAAACAAATGATAGTTCCACTAAGCCCAAACCAGATGAGATGGCGTATCGCTGCAGAATGCTGTGGTAGCCATGCTGGTTAAGTGTGCCTTGAATTCTAAATAAATCACAGACATTGTCACCAGCAAAACACCCCCACACAATAACACTTACTCCTCCATGCTTTACGGTGGGAAATACACATACGGACAAAATCCGTTCACCCACATCGCGTCTCACAAAGACACAGCGATTGGAACCAAAAATCTCAAATTTGGACTCCAGACCAAAGGACACATTTCCACCAGTCTAATGTCCATTGCTCGTGTTTCTTGGCCCGAGCAAGTCTCTTCTTCTTATTGGTGTCCTTTAGTAGTGGTTTCTTTGCAGCAATTTGACCAAGAAGGCCTGATTCACACAGTCTCCTCTGAACAGTTGATGTTTAAATGTGTCTGTTACTTAAACTCTGTGAAACATTTATTTGGGCTGCAATTTCTGAGGCTGGTAACTCTAATGAACTTATCCTCTGCAGCAGTGGTAACTCTGGGTCTTCCTTTCCTGTGGCGGTCCTCATGAGAGCCAGTTTCGTCATAGCGCTTGATGGTTTTTGCGACTGCACTTGAAGAAACTTTCAACGTTCTTGAAATGTTCCGTATTGACTGACCTTCATGTCTTAAAGTAATGATGGACTGTCATTTCTCTTTGCTTATTTGAGCTGTTCTTGCCATAATATGGACTTGGTCTTTTACCAAATAGGGCTATCTTCTGTATACCCCCCTACCTTGTCACAACACAACTGATTGGCTCAAACGCATTAAGAAGGAAAGAAATTCCACAAATTAACTTAAGAAGGCACACCTGTTAATTGAAACACATTCCAGGTGACTACCTCATGAAGCTGGTTGAGAGAATGCCAAGAGTGTGCAAAGCTGTCATCAAGGCAAAGGGTGGCTATTTGAAGAATCTCAAATCTCAAATATATTTTGATTTGTTTAACACTTTTGGTTACTTCATGATTCCATATGTGTTATTTCATAGTTTTGATGTCTTCACTATTATTCTACAATGTAGAAAATAGTACAAATAAAGAAAAACCCTTGAATGAGTAGGTGTTCAAAAACCTTTGACCGGAATTGTATTTATTATCCCAACAGTGCTACTCTGTCGTCTCTTCTCTATCCATCTAAACCTTTCGTTCCCGATCTTACCACTCCTAATAGTACGAATAGCATGAATATGTGAAGGAACAAGTCACTGTGGCTCTGTCTGATGGACGTGAGAGAAGTGAGAGAGAGAGTAACCTGCAGTAATTGGAATATCCTGTTTGTTCAGTGTGGGTGCAGGGCGACGTGAAGAGACAGGCCAGGGTTAGATAGCACTTCAGGCTGCATGGCACTTTGAGTGGATTCAGTTGTGACTTTGGCTGTGTTTGCTTTGCTTAAGGATCCTCCCTCTCTCTCTCTCTTTCTCTCTCTCCTTCTCCTTCATCCTTTCAGACATACTTCAATGATAATATCCTCACCCTGATCCGGACGCTGGTAACAGGGGGAGCCACTCCGGAGCTGGAGGGTCTGTTGGCGGAGGAGAACGCGTTACGAGGAGGCTACAGCACGCCGCAGACCCTCGCTAACCGGGACAGGTGTCGCGTGGCACAGTTAGCCTTGTACGACGGGCCTTTCGCTGACTTGGGAGTAAGTGACTGGTTGTGTTTTGTCACCTCGGCTTGCAGTAGAGAGAAGTTCTTTGGGGCTGTTTGTTCATCGAGGCCAGTAGGGGAGAACAAGGCGTGCGGAGACGGCTGGGTGATACTGTATATCCAGGCCTATGCAGTATCTGTGACCCCTATGGTAGCAAATGCTGAACCGTACAAACAGTGGACATGTTTAGAATGAAATTCGTTTTGAGAGAGATATACTATGTTCATATGTAAATGCACTTTTCATTCACATTCAAAAATATATGTATTTTTAAATCAGCTTTTTTATTTAGATCTGTATCATTTGACAAACATCAAAACTCAATATTAAACGTTCTGCTTCTCTGCCTTACAGGATGGTGGTTGCTACGGTGACTTATTTTGTAAAGCATTAAAAACATACAACATGCTGTGCTTCGGAATTTATCGATTAAGAGATGCACATTTAAACACACAAAGTCATACAAGTCAATGCACTAAACGGTGAGTATGTTGTAGCTTAAATTACTGTTGGCAGAATGTCCACTACCCAGAAGGCAAAACTGGTTGCAATGACATTGTTACAACTAGATTTCAACCGTTGTAATATGGTTGTAATGACGACATTTCAACCAGCTTTGGCATCTGGTTCGAGCCACACTAGATGCCGTGTCATTTTGATAAATCAATAGTAGATAATCTGTATTGATGACTCATCACTGGCTCTTTCCTCTTTAGGTATGTGATAACCAACCCGCCCTATGGTTTTGAGCTGGTGCCATCAGACCTGATCTTCTGCCTGATGCAGTTTGACCACAACGCGGGTCAGTCCCGGGCCAGCCTCTCCCACAGTTCCCACTCCTCCCATTCTTCCAGCAAAAAGAGCTCCTCCGTCCATTCTCTCACTGCCACCAACCGCACCAACCGTGCCAAGAGCAGGGACTCACGGGAAAAACAGAAGTATGTGCCCCTCTAAAGATGGTTGCATCCCAAATGGTACCCTATTCCCTATATAGTACACTACTTTTGACCAGAGCCCTATTGGCCAGTTACTTATGGTGAAAAAGGTTAATAAAATAAAAAGTGTTACTGCTTGGCAGTTAGTGTCTCTTTTGAATCATTACCAATTTGGGGGCAAAAGCAAAAAATATGTTGGCGCTTTTAGGGTTAAGAGAATAGGGTGCCATTTGGGACGCAACCATGTTTGTCTGATTCTCTGTGTTTGTGTTTGTTGAGTAATGCCTGTGAACTTTCTTAACTGTTGTCAAGTGTCCTATCTGGTTTCTTCTCACTGATTGACATCGATGGCTCTATAACATAGAAATCAAAATGGCTACTGAAGTGCCTTAAGTCGATGATGACAGCCAGTGCTTGACTTGGGCCAGAGCTGTCCGAAGCGCAGTACCGGCACTTTTAATTTTGGGGGAATTGCGTACTGGCTACTCTATAAAACAAAGTAGCCTATCGCCGGCCCAGATTTACACACCGAGGCAAAAAAGGTTGATCACAGCGGAATGAAGGCAGGATCTGCATTGAATAGCAAGGGAGAGTGGGCATTCATTTTTCTAATTCCACTTTGTTCAAGTTTATTTACCGCTAGTCTGTGAATCGGCGAGTGACAGTAGACTGTTGGAGATTGTGCAGACTGAATGGCATGGTGCGCTGTTCCAAGTTGTCAAATGAAGGTTTATAAGGTCATGAAAAGTAATGGAAATCAGTTTCATAATTGTTGTTAATGTAATTCATGAAAGCACACTTTTAAATATGATCAATCAATAAAAAAATGCCATATCAGACATTATGGGAATGACCCTTCAGTGCATGTCTGTGGTGCTGCATGTGTGTCAGTGTGAGTGGGCCGTTGCCCGAGGAGAGAGAGCGCCACATTTCAGCAGCAGGTATAAAATAATGACCGACAACAGACTAACTAGATGGCCAATTCAAAACATAACTTGTAGCAGTTATTGTGCTAGTTAAATATAGCTAACTAAGCATTAATGTTGTTGTCGCCTTTCCATCGTCACTGTAGAGCCTAAATAAATCTGCACCGTAGGAAAGCTGGGATTCCCCTCTACGGAAAAATATGAAAATGAATGCGCTCTGGATAAGAGCGTCTGCTAAATTACTTAAATGTAAATGTATTAAACAGTAATTGCGACAACATAAAAAATATTCTAAGAATAGCCTAATTGACAAATAACTTGCTGTGCATAGATCTCCTCTGAAACATGAATAATTGAGCCTTATATATAAACATGTCTAGTTAGATACCTTGCTTTGAAGTAGCCTACATTATCCATTTGATCCCTGATTTATTTAACGAGGGAATAATTGTATAAAGACAAAAGGATTCGGTTGTAATGTTGCACAATGTTATATCAAGTGTGGAAACCATCATCCAGGATAGCTACTGGGTGTGCAGGCTTTTGTTCAAGTCCCCAGATCAAGGGCACAACGGCAGGAGGTGGTCGGTCTACATGTGATCAAACACAGCAGCCTTCCAATGTCAATAATGCTTACTTTTTCATTTAGGATATTATAATAATAGTCAATAAAATGTGGTTAAAAGTCATGGAGAAGTCATTGAAAATGTGTATGAACCCTTAACAGTGAATAATCAGAGGTCTCTATAGCATAATGTCATTTGTGAAGTTTGGTAAACATAGTCTAATGGACCGACTTGGAAAAAGACAGCTCCTGCACTTCTTCCATCGCAAGTCAAGCACTGATAACAGCAAAAGGTATTACTTGATATTAAGGTCCCTTAATAAACCATTTATTAATCATTATTCCTACATTTGTAAATGTCAATAAGCAATCTCTAAATAGTCATTTAAAAACGTTTTAATTATTTATAAGATAATTAATAAGGTGTTTGATTATAGTATGGTCACAATTTCAAAATCATTTATAATGTACTACCAGTGTACTTATAAAGCAGTTATTGTCAACTCATCAGATTATTTGTAAGGCATGTGTTAATGGTTGATTAATGGTTTGACTCACCATTTATCTACATATTTATAAATGTATTTATCAATGTCATTAATGGGATATTTAGTCATTGTTAATGAGTGCATTTGTAAATGTGAGTACATGCATTTACTAATACATCATTTGATTAATGTAGCTCCTTGTAAACCATTTACTAATTATTAATAAACTATTTTGCAGCCTCTAATCTAAAGTGTGCACTATATATACTTTATACATTTATAAATGACTTGTTACTCCCCAAAAGCTGGCCACATTAGTAGACAATATTTGATTCTCCACCAATGGCTAAAAATAACCTAAAACACACAATGGTAAAAGAAGAAGTACACAATATAATGTAGATATAATATAATGTATAAAAAAATATGGAAAAAACAGAGCATCTCCAGAATAAATTGTATTGCATGAACTTCTTGCTTAAACAATTTCAATTACATATTTCAGAAGCTTCATAACTTCAGCCATTAACAAAGGCCTGATAAATCAAAAGTGATCATCAACTTCGGCAACTTGCACTGTTTAACACTAGTATAGTCAGGCCTCGACGAATACAAATAGCCGCCAATGCGTCAAATAAATCCATTTAATATACACCATCACAAATAAACTTTTTTTCAGTTAAGGCAGGTTTTAAAAAACATTATGATATTAAGAAAATGTATTTCAAAAGAACAGAATAGCATATTTGAAGTTTATGGTCCTATGCCAATATGTTTTCACTACAGTGACGAATAAGGGATATGGCTTGAAAATGTATCTCAATCCAGGGATGGAAGCTGTCACTGTACTCCTAATTATCCCATTATCCAAGCCGCGAAATTGAGAAGATTGAAATACTACTAGTTTTTTTTATTAAACTGCCTTTTTCGTCAGCATGCTAGGTTAACTAATGCTAAAGCAGCCCATTGGATTCCACAACACTCCTGACAGCAACTCACCCCAATGCTAGGCATCACATACTGTTTATAAATGGTTTATTAAGCCAAGGGACCTTAATATAAAGTGTTACCCGGCTGAATATAATGCAGAACAACAAATACTACACTTGTAATCTCTAAACAAGGAACTACTCACACATACTGCATACTGAGAGATCATTTGTGTGTGATCTCCTTGAGAATACTGAAGTTCAAGTATGGGTTTACAGGATATCTTTAACAGTTACTCAGGTTGCTGAGTGAATGCTACAACGGTTAGTACTGTAGGTGAGACTACAAATATACTTACAAGCTTCTTTTTATTTATTTGGTCTTATAGCATACTTATTTTAGTATTTTAATATAGGTGAATGCCTATTTTAGATATATTAATTTTGGATGTTGCATGCTTTTAATAATATATTTTTTAATTACTGCGAAATCAAAAAGAGGAGCATTTATACAGTAGTATGTACATTTACATTTACATTTTAGTCATTTAGCAGACGCTCTTATCCAGAGCGACTTACAGTTAGTGAGTACATACATCATTTTTTTTATACTGGCCCCCCATGGGAATCGAACCCACAACCCTGGCATTGCAAACGCCATGCTCTACCAATTGAGCTACATCCCTGCCGGTCATTCCCTCCCCTACCCTGGACGACGCTGAGCCAATTGTGCGCCGCCCCATGAGTCTCCCGGTCGCGGCCGGCTACGACAGAGCCTGGATTCGAACCAGGATCTCTAGTGGCACAGCCAGCACTGCGATGCAGTGCCTTAGACCACTGCGCCACTCGTACAACTCTGAACGCTTTGGAAACAAGCATGGACATTCTATAGTTGCTTTGCATTTGTATACGCATGTAGCGTACATGCTGTAACATCAATTTATCAAATTATAATCAAATTAATTGAAACCATGTTACCATAATACACTTTGATGTGTTCAGTCATTTTAGGGATGAAATTAAGCTAGCCCGCTAGCCAGAGGCTAGTATTGTGTATACTGGGCTAGTAGAAAATCTGCCAAACTAGCCAGCCAGGCCAGTGAAATGTTCAAATATGTCATGGCACAGATTTTGGACATGAATTTGTGATCTACTAGCCCGGCCGGCCAGTGCCCAAAATACTTAAAGGGATACTTTGGGATTTTGGCAATGAGGCCCTTTATCTACTGCTCCAGAGTCAGATTTACATTTACATTTTAGTCATTTAGCAGACGCTCTTATCCAGAGCGACTTACAGTTAGTGAATATATATATATATATATATATATATATATATATATATATATATATATATATACACACACAGTGGGGAGAACAAGTATTTGATACACTGCCGATTTTGCAGGTTTTCCTACTTACAAAGCATGTAGAGGTCTGTAATTTTTATCATAGGTACACTTCAACTGTGAGAGACGGAATCTAAAACAAAAATCCAGAAAATCACATTGTATGATTTTTAAGTAATTAATTTGCATTTTATTGCATGACATAAGTATTTGATCACCTACCAACCAGTAAGAATACTGGCTCTCACAGACCTGTTAGTTTTTCTTTAAGAAGCCCTCCTGTTCTCCACTCATTACCTATATTAACTGCACCTGTTTGAACTCGTTACCTGTATAAAAGACACCTGTCCACACATTCAATCAAACAGACTCCAACCTCTTCACAATGGCCAAGACCCGAGAGCTGTATAAGGAATATGGTGCCATTAGGGATGACATCTATGGGTCCATTTCAGCCATTCCAGCTGACCCAAAGCTGAATGCATTGATTGTTTAAACTATTGTACTGTGGCGGTACAATAGGATATTTGCATTGCATGACCACTGACAAACAACAGCATGGTAAACTATTCTATAAAGATAGCTTACTATCTGACATTAGGTCTCATTCAGAGTAAACAATACTGATTTGGAATGCTGATGACATAGCCTTGTAATCACTTAAACATTTTGGTAAAGTGATTACATTCCAAGTGGCACCCTATTCCTAGTGCACTACTTTTGACCAGTCCCCTATGGGCTCTGGTCAAAAGTAGTGCACTGTATAGGGAATAGGGTGCCATTTGAGACGATACCAGTAACATCCACAAACCATTAACGGTTTGATTTCTGTTGTTTCTCAGAAAAGACTTGGTTTACAGATGAGCCTGAGAACGCGGCCTACCACAGGAACATTGACATCAAGCCAATGAGTACTGGTCACAGTAGTCACACAGCCAATCACCAGGTCAACCAGAACCCTTACAAATCCACCAACAACCATATTCCATCCATCAGAGAGGTGGAGGACGAATGCTGAACTACAGAACCCCATGTTGACACCTACAGTAGAACCCACCTGGAGAACACCTGGAAAAAACCTGGAATTATAACCCAAGAACATTTAGAACCCACCTAGAGAACACATGGAAAGACACCTAGAACCTGTGGAACTGGAACCTGAAGAACAACTGAAAGCTAGAATCCTTAGTTGCTTTAATGATAAATACCCATTGATTCTTGAAGAATATAACTTAAAAATGCCTCATGAGCTTAGTTCAACTGTTGTACCCAATCAGAACCCAATATATACGATTGTTTTACTCCAATGTTTGTATACAATGTAAATGTAAACAAACACTGTATAGCCTCTAAACATGGTTAAAACTATAATGTTTATATCATGGATGGTCAGTCCTTGCATCCGTAGCTTTGTCTATTAATTTGAGAGTGGTTACATTTCTCCAGGCCCATCCCTCAGCTTTTTACCAAAACTGAGGAGGGTTGACTGCTTTGTTATTGTTTCAAGTAAGGATTCTTGTTTTAAAGGGATACTTTGGGATTGTATCTACTTCCCCAGAGTCAGATGAACTCGTGGATACCATTTTTATGTCTCTGTGTCCAGTATGAAGGAAGTTCGAGGTAGTTTCGCAAGCCAATGCTAACTAGCGCTACCCATAGACTTCCAGTCATTGCACTAACGCTTGTTAGCAACTTCCTTCAAACTGCACGCAGAGACATAAAAATGGTATCCACTCTGGGGAAGTAGATAAAGGGCCTCATTGCCAAAATCCCGAAGCATCCCTTTAACATAGAACTCCAGAGAACAAATAAATAATTGGGACGAATGGGGTGTTTGCATGGGAAAACAGCATTCAGTATACTCCCTCAGATTCCTTCTTCATCAGTCACCAGTTACTGATCACAACATCAGTACAAACTAACCTCTTGGAAAAGGACAACCTTTTCATATGTACAGTACATACAGTAATACCATATATACAGTACCAGTCAAAGGTTTGGACACACCTACTCATTCAAGGGTTTTTCTTTATTTTTACTATTTTGGTTACTGCATTATTTCATATGTGTTATTTCATAGTTGATGTCTTCTACAATGTAGAAAATAGTAAAAATAAAGAAAAACCCAGGAATGAGTTGGTGTGTCCAAACCTTTGACTGGTACTGTTTATTCATATATAAATGAAGCAACGTAATATAAATATAATCATATGTCAATCAAATGTACAGTCAGTCAGTCATTAATGTTAACACTCAGCCATGTAGTTTGCACAGCCAGTTCCTTCTTAGTGACCAGACTCCATCAGTTACCCATTTTGGAGAATGAGGGTCGCTTCAGTCAGAATAGATAGCAACGCAACGCAACGCAAGATTATAAGTGATGAAACATTATATTAGATTATTATGAAACTGGACAAATTATTTGCCATTGGAAGCATTTTCTTTTTTTAAACCTTCATTTGTGCAATGGTGTTTCAAGACTGACATGTATCCAGTATTGGAATGCCGTACTCTTTGCGTATGTTTTTGACATACCTGGTAAGATCCAATACAAAACAAAGTTTGCAAAAAAGGGTATGTTATCGATTTTGATTTCACCATATTATCACTTTGTGGGTCGTCATTTAATAAGTCAATTCACAACGACTATATTTGTGATTGATTGTCAACGTTCATGTCAAAATAGTACATTGTATTGTATTGGCCCCAGCCTTATTTTGATTGTCCAGTTCGTTTGTGCGTCTACTGACCTACAGGATACTTCCTGCCTTTTTAGCTTTGATATCAATGTCCAACAACTATACTGGAATATAAAGGAATATGAGATGTGGATAGAATGACACTGGAAATACAAAATAAACCATATTCCCAATACATTTGACACATTTGACCTGGCATTATAGGGACATAATGCTATAACCCAAATATGATGAAGCTGTTTTGGAGGATGTTCAGTAGCTATCCGAGCAGCTATTAAGATGAACGGACCTTAATTACCTTAACTAATAGGTCTACCTATTGGATTAGGTTATACTGTATAATCCTACCTGTTTAACCCTACCTATACCTTAATTACCTTAACTAATAGGTCTACCTATTGGATTAGGTAATACTTTATGCAACCTACCTACCTACCTGTTTAACCCTACCTATACCTTAATTACCTTAACTAATAGGTCTACCTATTGGATTAGGTTATACTGTATAATCCTACCTGTTTAACCCTACCTATACCTTAATTACCTTAACTAATAGGCCTACCTATTGGATTAGGTTATACTGTATAACCCTACCTGTTTAACCCTACCTTTACCTTAATTACCTTAATAGACTTACCTGGAAGTACAGGGAGGGTTATACTGTAAATTATGTTAATATCACCATGAATGAGGTGAAAGATTGAGAAAGCCACATATCGCATGAAGTGGGTGTATATACCTATAGCTCTGGTCCCATCGCGCAACTACAACAACGAGTTGCCTCTGCACCTCTGTTAGTAGAGGAATGCGCATTAACACCCTGGACCAAAGCTATTCCTGTATCTGTAGATGGATCCTCCTTTGGCTAAAAGCACTGCTTGGCACTGAGTTGGCATGGAGGCACTAGAGTAGCTTGGATGTTCTCCATGACTAGTCCCAGCGTTATACTCAGACTGTAGAAGAAGAATGTTAAGGATTTTCTGTAGATATACCCCCAAAACAGCTGAATCATAAAAGGAGCATTTGGCTAACTACAGTACAAAGCTTTGTAATGCCAGTTTCTCATGTTTTGGTGTAACACAACTGACACTCAAACTGAAGACACTTGTGTTACTGAACATGTTCATCAATTCGTCATGTCCATAAACCATAACCATATTTGTTCATCTCTTTTCTTTCAATATACAATACAATGCAGTACATGACTCTAATGAGACCGTTAAAGTCAGTAATCTGAAGAAAGAAATGGTGTGGCATTTTGCTGGCCAGCAATGTGCCGGGCAGTGTTTAGGTCAAAGGACAACTCAGGCTAAAGACCCACTGTAGAGAAAGTGGCTTATTAAGATAGGGATTATATAGAAACAGGGCATGTATATTGCTATTGCTAAAGGAGAGAGTGTCATATCTAGTCATAGAGACATTTACAGTGGGGAAAAAAAGTATTTAGTCAGCCACCAATTGTGCAAGTTCTCCCACTTAAAAAGATGAGAGAGGCCTGTAATTTTCATCATTAGGTACACATCAACTATGACAGACAAAATGAGATTTTTATTCTCCAGAAAATCACATTGTAGGATTTTTAATGAATTTATTTGCAAATTATGGTGGAAAATAAGTATTTGGTCAATAACAAAAGTTTCTCAATACTTTGTTATATACCCTTTGTTGGCAATGACACAGGTCAAACGTTTTCTGTAAATCTTCACAAGGTTTTCACACACTGTTGCTGGTATTTTGGCCCATTCCTCCATGCAGATCTCCTCTAGAGCAGTGATGTTTTGGGGCTGTCGCTGGGCAACACGGACTTTCAACTCCCTCCAAAGATTTTCTGTGGGGTTGAGATCTGGAGACTGGCTAGGCCACTCCAGGACCTTGAAATGCTTCTTACGAAGCCACTCCTTCGTTGCCCGGGCGGTGTGTTTGGGATCATTGTCATGCTGAAAGACCCAGCCACGTTTCATCTTCAATGCCCTTGCTGATGGAAGGAGGTTTTCAGTCAAAATCTCACGATACATGGCCCCATTCATTCTTTCCTTTACACGGATCAGTCGTCCTGGTCCCTTTGCAGAAAAACAGCCCCAAAGCATGATGTTTCCACCCCCATGCTTCACAGTAGGTATGGTGTTCTTTGGATGCAACTCAGCATTCTTTGTCCTCCAAACACGACGAGTTGAGTTTTTACCAAAAAGTTCTATTTTGGTTTCATCTGACCATATGACATTCTCCCAATCCTCTTCTGGATCATCCAAATGCACTCTAGCAAACTTCAGATGGGCCTGGACATGTACTGGCTTAAGCAGGGGGACACGTCTGGCACTGCAGGATTTGAGTCCCTGGCGGCGTAGTGTGTTACTGATGGTAGGCTTTGTTACTTTGGTCCCAGCTCTCTGCAGGTCATTCACTAGGTCCCCCCGTGTGGTTCTGGGATTTTTGCTCACCGTTCATGTGATCATTTTGACCCCACGGGGTGAGATCTTGCGTGGAGCCCCAGATCGAGGGAGATTATTAGTGGTCTTGTATGTCTTCCATTTCCTAATAATTGCTCCCACAGTTGATTTCTTCAAACCAAGCTGCTTACCTATTGCAGATTCAGTCTTCCCAGCCTGGTGCAGGCCTACAATTTTGTTTCTGGTGTCCTTTGACAGCTCTTTGGTCTTGGCCATAGTGGAGTTTGGAGTGTGACTGTTTGAGGTTGTGGACAGGTGTCTTTTATACTGATAACAAGTTCAAACAGGTGCCATTAATACAGGTAACGAGTGGAGGACAGAGGAGCCCCTTAAAGAAGAAGTTACAGGTCTGTGAGAGTCAGAAATCTTGCTTGTTTGTAGGTGACCAAATACTTATTTTCCACTATAATTTGCAAATAAATTCATTAAAAATCCTACAATGTGATTTTCTGGATTTATTTTCCTCAATTTGTCTGTCATAGTTGACGTGTACCTATGATGAAAATTACAGGCCTCTCTCATCTTTTTAAGTGGGAGAACTTGCACAATTGGTGGCTGACTAAATACTTTTTTTCCCCACTGTAAAACCATATAAATTACATTTCAAATCATGTAAGTCTTGGAAAAATTTGACGTTTAATTGTAAAAGGTTATGGGGAATGTACAGATTCCCTGAAGATAATTATCATTGTAGCGATTAATGAGAGTGAAAAAAGTCTTAAACTAACATTCAAATTAGGCATTTACTTAGTAACTGAGAAATAAAATGTTCTGTGTTTATTTCTTGGTCCTTTCAAGAAGTCAATACAAAGCTTTAGTGAATTATTCCTATTGCGTGTATAGATGTTGGGTGAAGAGGAGATTGGCATTGC